TTCTTGGAGGAGGAGATGATTACCTCATCAATAGAAATTAGATGAAAACTAAAGAATTACTTCTCAGAAAAAAAAATGTGTGCACATAATATTTTGTGTATAATATGAAGAGGGTTCAGTTGGATTTCCGAAAGTTGCTTATGAACTCTGGCTTAAAAAGTATGTTGCTTTAGTAGTTGTATGTGTCAGGTTTTTATGTAAGCCAGGTTGGCTGACTGTGTTTGAGAACATGAGCTTGAGTCCTTCATTGACTTCTGTTTGGGTTCTGTGAAGTGGCTGTTAGGCAAAGTGATAAGTTCTGCTTGAACCCAGGCTGGCTTGGATGAGCTCAAGGGCCATGCCTTGAAATTGCCCTACACATCAGTTCCGTGTTGTGGCACAGGCCCAGTGCCTACTAGGCTCCCACATGATCTCACTTTTGAATAAATGTTCTGAAAATGACGTGTTTAACTTTGCCTCATGACTGGCTTATCTGTTCAAAGTGTAGTGCTGTTAGTGTAAATTCCAGAATTTTAACTATGTTTTTATTATTGTTGTTGTTTTGTACAAGACCATATGGGATATAATGTGATTGTATAGGCTTTCCTGATTATTAGGCTGACTGTCCATTTTCTTAAAATGTAGAGACAAATTTTATGTTGCCATATAAAACATTGAATGTTGTGTAACTACTTTGTTAAATAGGTTTTATATTTTTTATAAAGCAAAACAGTTTATGCATACTTTTAGAAAACTCAGTGTTTTGAAAATTTTTTTCCACTTTATTGAGGTATAGTTAACAAAAATTATGTAGATTTGAAGTATACAACTTTGTTTTTGATACACATTGTGAAATGATTGCCAGTCAAGCACAGTGAGTTTCTTTTTTCTTTAAGAACACCTAAATCTGTCTTAACAAATTTCAAATGAAAATCTTGCTTTTTGACCTCAGTCTTATTAACAGGTTCTAAAGCCTGTAGCCATGAATCCTGATTACAGGTGCAAATATGGGCCTTCAGACAAAAGATAGAATCAACAGGAGCTGTCTGTTCCTGTCTTGGCTCTGTTACTTAAAAACTTCGGGCACTGCCCTCATCTTGGCACTTTCTCTTTCCTTTGAATGAAAAAGTATAACTGTCTGGAAAAGGATCAGTGACTAAAACATGCTGACTCAATGCTTGTGGAGGATTGTAGAAGGTCATACTTCCCTCCCTTTGGTTTTTATTTCTGGAGTTTCCTCAACCTCTGATGGCTAAAAATTTCATGCTGTGGAATATGATGCAAGAACTGATGTTTAAAAATTATTATTTGGGCTGGTGAGATAGCTCAGTAGAATAAGCACTTGCCTGGCAAGCATAAGGTTCTGAGTTCAATGCCCGGTTCCTCAAAAAAAAAAAAAAAAAAAAAAAAAAAAAAAAAAAAATTACCATTAGTACAAATTTGTAGAGTTAAATGCCCAATTTTTTACATGATCTTTTATTTTTTTATTTTTTTTATTTTTTTTTTATTTTTTTTTTTTTTTGATCTTTTAATAGATTTGAAATTTCATGATGTGAAAAGAACTGTGGAGGTCTTGAAAAATACTGAGCATTCTCAACTAGAGTTCTCTGGGAATAATTCAAAATAATCATATTTTATAAATTCAAAATATTGAGAAGAGAAAAAAGTCGAGTGTTTTCTGAGCAGGAAAGAAGGTTAGTTGTTTCTGAGCTGGAAGAAGGCCCTGGATATTTCAAACCAGGGTAGTCAACAGATAGGATTGTGTTCCTGAGAGCAAAGAGACTTGTCTAAAAGAAATGCATTGGTGGGCTCTCTCTTCCTTACAGTGGTTTCATTTTACAGTTTCACATACTGGACATTGGTGTTTATTGATAAGCTTTTGAAAGTAGTCTTTGTATTTTTGTAGTACTTCCATTCCCCTAGATAAGAGTAATCTGATGGAAGTAAGTATCCTGGTTTCAATGCAAAGTTGAAATTTTCACCCCAGGGTCATCCTGTTGAGCAGTGGAAGTTAGTACAAGTTTGAGGTCACTTATCTATGTCACAAAGGACAGGAAATTTACCGGAGTTTTCAAAACTTAGTTATGCATTATTGGGAGTTTTGTTGTGTCATTTATAAGTACAAGAACATAGAACTAGCATCATTGAGTATGTGGTTTATTCTAAGCCATATTGCAAATGTTTTTTATTTGCTTGTTAGCTCTATTACTAGTTTTATGTAGACAACAACAGTAAGGCTCAAAGTGACTAGGTAGTTTGTATATCACAGAGCTTCAGAGTTTTGGAGTTAATATTTGAAACAAAGTCTTTCAGACATCACAGTTTTGGGGTTTTAGATAATAGTCTACCTACTTCCCAGTCTAAGAGACTTTGTCTTAGATATGAGCACAGAGACCTGTTTATTCCATACCTATCATTCTATAAAATCACAATTAGACTAAAGGTAGACATAGAAAGAAAGCAGACTCTCCAGGGTATAGTCCTGTCTGGAATGTTAATGTCACTGTCACTGAATTTTTTCTCCTTTTAGTAGGAGTTACTTTGGATAACATACTGAAGAAAATGCTCAAGTATTAGTACTTTGACGAGTCACTATTAAGTAGGGTGACCAACCATTCAGATTTGTCCAGGATCAAATTTCTTAGGGCATGGGACTTTTGGTGGGGGGCAATAGCAGTACTAGGGATTAAACCTAGAGCTTTTGAACTAAACTTTAACCCCAGACATTATTAAGCTTTACTTTTAAGACAGGGCCTATCTAAGCCACTTAATTGCCTGGCTGGGCTTGATCTTGTGATTCTCCTGCCTCAGCTTCCCAGAGTACTGGGATTATAGAAATGCACCCCACAAGAGGACTTTTTTTTTTTTAAGAGGATGTTTTAAATCTGGACTAATCTAGGCTACCATATGTATTCAGCTACTGGGAAACTGGGGTGAGAAGACCACTTGAGCCAGTGAATTTGAGACCATCCTGGGCAACATATTGAAAAGCCTTATCTCAAAATGCAAACAGATAAAACCTCGAGACTTAGAAAACCAGTCTTTTGATGCTAAGCCCAGAAAATCCTGGGCAAACTGGGACATCTGGTCATCATAGTAGCAAGGGATGTAAGATTGATTTCTTAAAACATGGCACATCAAACTAAAATATTAAATGGTTCATTTATTAAGTGACTTTTTGAAATACCTAGATAAAGTACAACCCTAATTAATATGTTTACAATACTAATAAAATCATTATATTCCAGGTTTACTAACAGAAAATTTAAACCAGCACTTATCTCGAATTTTTATAAGTTTGTAGGAGTCACTGTTTTAAATATGCTGGGTTTTTTCCCTTTTCTTTTGTGGCTCTTTGTTGGTATGCCAACTTGCTTAAGAAAACATCCATGAGGCTGGCTCTAATTAGAAATACAATTGATCATTAATATGGAAATAAATGACATCTATGCTGTTTGGCCCTTTTTAACTTTTGTAAAGTATTAGTTGGCCTTATTTTTTGCTGGTTTCTTTTGGAACCTCTAAATCACAGCAACAACTATTATAATTGGTTCCTAGTCTTAGTAATTCAGAACATTGTACATACTGTATCATAATGTATAGTGTCAGTCTTAAAAGAGTGCTGACTTTTTTTCCCTCCGAGATCTTAGTCTATGTTCTTGCATATAAGGAGTGTGTGTGTGTGTGTGTGTGTGTGTGTGTTTTGTTTTGTTTTGTTTTGGCCTAAAAGATAAAATTCAAAGGAAAATGCAACTCTAAAGCAGAAACAAAAAAATTCTGATTTACTAGAAATAACTGCTTCTGTGATATGAGTACTTTATTTTATTTTAAATATGTTTATGTGAAAAGAAAGCTTTTTAGATCCAAGTTAATAGTATTTGGTAGGTTAATTATGCTGTCAAATAAATCTGAATGCTGGTTGCAGTGGAGTAGGGGAGAAAACCTGAGTAAGACCATCCCGTAGACTTAGGAAGCCAGTCGTCATCATACTAAGGGATGTAAGATTTACTTGTACCAAGTATTCATTCGGATCATGCATCAGTAAAATTCTGAATCATAAAGTGCTTATTTCCCAGTCAGGGTCAGAGAAATAACAGAAACCCAATGAGCTCTCTGCTTCCCAGTTTTTCCTTTTGGCTGCTGGGAGGTGTTGGTACTTTAGGCTTTTCTTTACCTGTTGTGTGCTTATGTCGTTTCCCTACCAGGGGGCCAGTCTTTCTTTAGCAGAAAGGATTCCATCCGCACCATCTATACGTCCCTGCATAATGAGCTGAAGAAAGTGGTGACCGGCCGCGGAGCCCTGGGTGGGACTGCTCCTCACGTGGAAGAACTCCTCTCCCACTTATCAGAGCAGCTCTGCTTCTTTGTTCAGGCTCGGATGGAGATCGCAGACTTTTATGAGAAGATGTACACCCTCAGTACACAGAAGTTCATCAATGCTGAAGAGCTTGTGGGACTTTTGGACACTATCCTCAAGAAGTACAGCTCCAGGTCAGTTGGGGCATTGGGCAGAATGTAGCAGTCTTCTCAATCCTGTGTAGGTTCTGAATATTTCCTACTCCCATGACAGATTGTGGCAAAATAACAGAAAAAGAAGTAACTATATTCCAACTTATAGGTTTTAACTCATTAGCAGTTACACATTAGGCTCCTTTTAGCTCTTGCAATAGCAGAACACTGGGAATGAAGGACTTGTTAAAAGTTGGTGGGTTGTAGATTTAGCTCAGTGCCTGGCAAATGTGAGGTCCTTAGTGTGATTCCTAGTATCTCCCCAGATGTTGGGTTATATTTGATTTTGTTGCTTATGAACGAGTTCATGACAAGAAAATTGTGCATAAAATAATGTGACATTTTAATAAATCTCTATTTAAGTAAGTATTGTCTCTTCCAAAGTAGTAATCTTTGTGAGTTATTTGCTTGTTTATCTGATATAGTTGTCATTCTTAGCATGTGTTAGAAATGCCTTTAATTGTTTTCAGAGTCTATGACATATACTTTGGTTTGTTTCAAGCTTCTTTGGTGGAGGCAGTCATCTGCTTTTGACAAAAGAAGTGCATGTTTTGTTTTGGATAGCCAAAAAATTATTTGGAAGTGAATTTAAATTTTTAAAAAAGGTATTGATCAACTGAAAAATTGTTCTTATTGGAAGGACATTGCTACTTACAAATGAATGAGACTGGTTCTGATACACTGCTCATAATATGAAAAAATTTCAGAAACATTGTGAATATCATAAAAGTGAATGACATATTTTGAATGATTCTTATGAAAAGAACAACTTATTTTTCCTTCCCTTGGAGTCTGGCAGAGTACCTGCCTATAGGAGCTGCTGAATTTTGTACTGATTGAAAAGTGATTTCTTTCAGGGGAACCACACATATGAAATCAGATATGTGTGCTTCAAATGTAGAGGAAGATACATTAATTATATTCCCAAATGAAAGCTAATGCATATTTGATTAATGCAGTGGGGGGAGTAAGAAAAAGTGGGGGAGATTAAAAGGCTTCATGGAAGAGATAGAATCTCAGATGAGCTTTTATGCATAGGTGGAGGTTTTAAAACAAAGGCAAAAGGAGAACAGGTGTTTTGAGGTAAGAAGGTATTTTCAGAATAAAAAAAGTTCTGAGATATTTGATATGTGCTGTTCTTTCTTACTAAAATATTCTTGACCTAGTTTTTTCATTGTTAAGTCTTAGTTTATATGTCTAACCTTTGTTTACCATACTACAAAAATTATCATTTATTTAGTCACTATCCTAGTCTACACTATTTTCTTCACAGTACTTATTGCTGAGAAATTAGTCATTTGTTTATAGTGTTTTTTGTTTTCTTTTCTTATAAACTAGAATGTGAGCTTTATGATAGCTTCTGTTTCCTCAGAATTTGTAACAGAAGACATAGAAGATGCTGAGTAAATGAATATTCCAGATATAACTATTTTCTGGAGTTTATAAGTATTGGGAACTGGAAAGTTTTTGAACAGGGGAGTACTTTGTTCTCATTTTTGTCTTAGTCATTATTTAGCGCTGGTGGGAGGGATGAGGTGCTGAAAATGTGGTTATAGGAGGAAGGGTTAGAGTAGCAGGCTATTAGGATAGGTAGCATGTAAGTAGTAGTAGAGAGCCTGAAACATGTGTTTCAGGATAATGAGAGACAATATGGTGACAATCGTCTGTTGGTCTTGGCAACAGGATGGTAGGAATAAATGAGAGGTTGCTGCAAAGGTGATTTGGAGGTTTTGCCCACCAAAGATAATGTAATTTATGGGATCAAGAGATAAAGAGAGGCTGGTTTAGAAGGAGCTAAATTTTCGGTGAGTTTGAGTTGCTAGTATGCTTCCAAGTAAATTGATTCAGCAGGTATTTGGAAATGGGGTTTGGTATTGCTTGTACCAGAGAAGTCCGATAATTGCTGTGAATATACCTGACCATGTGATTCAGGAGACCTTGGACTGGTGTGTGAGAAGGATTTGGAAAGATGTAGAAATGCCAGCTGAAAAAGTAGAGCTGGAATGTCTTTTGCTATTCTGAGTGGAAGATTCTGATTAGAGCTCAGACCAGAAGGCTTATAGAAATCCTGCCTGTAAAGATCAGGCTTGAGAGGTTTCTGCTGAGAAGGAGTACATTTGCTATAGGACTCCAGATGATGTGTGTTATGGCTTGGCAGAAAGTTTGTGTGTATTGTGCTTATGTCCAGAGACTTTGCCTAACACTGAGGTTAAAGGCAGGGGACAAAATAATCTGGAAGAAATTCTAAAGCAGTCTTATATTGAGGCCATGCCAAGGCTATTTCGGGGGACTTTCAGCCAGATTAATATTGAGAGTCCAAAGCAGAGAACCCAGCAGAATGAATCAAAACTTGAGTTTTGGGGCCTGGGAGATAGCTCAGCAGCACAAGTGCCTGCCTGGTAAGCTCAAGGTCTGGCACTGTGATTTCAGAAGAAGACCAGTGTGAAGCTGAAGCTGTCAGTATGAAGCTGAAGGTGCAGTGGAGACCCCAGAAATTTGGAGAATCCAGGAACGTGGATCGTCTGAGGGAAACTGAGAAGAGGGAACAGCGTTAGCCCAAGAGAAAAGCCATGGGAGCTAGCACCACTGGAAATGCCATAGGGACAGAACCCTATGTAGTTCAGAGCCCTTTGTAGGGTTCACATCTTGCCACAGATTGCCTCGGATGCTAGACATGGAACTATGGGACTTAGTGTTTACCCTGTTGCTTGCTTTGGGTTTGGTTCCATTCTTTCGTATTCCCCTATTTGTACCTTTTGGAATGCAAATGTTTACCTAGTACCATTGAAAGTTGGAAGTTGGAAACTTCTTTTCATTGTTACAGGGGCTTGCAGCTGAGAGTTTTCCCTCAATCTCAGAGAAGATTTCAGACCTGGACTTTTCTGCAGTGCTAAAGATGTTAGGACTTTTGCCACTCTCAGAAATGGAGAAATATTATGCAAATCCCTTTTTTGCATAAAGGGATGTGCATCAGTCTTTGAGGGGTTGGGAGAAGAATGTTATGACTTGTGTCTGGCTATCTCCCTAAAGCCTCATCTGGTCATAGGTGGAGCTTTTTCAGAGATGGCTGGATCTAGACTGTGTGACTGGGATTGATTCATGGCACAATGCTAAGATCAAGGGAGCTAGGATTAAGGATGTGAGTGCTGCATTCCGAAAGTAGTCTGGATAGAGTATAAGGAATAGAAAGAACTGTGGTCATCCCTTGCTTGCTTGCTTTGCTACCTTCTACCTGCCATAAACTGTGTCTCTTCTGTGATGGCTGTCTACCATATCATGCTGTCCTGGAGCCAGCTAATTATGGGCTGAAAATTCTACAAATTGAACTAAATAAACTTTTCCCTCCCTTAACTTATGGGTGTTAGGTATTTTTTTCAGTAACAAGAAAAGTAACTAAGTTAGGGGTCTAGAGTTGAGATAAAAGGTCAGAAATTGAAATTAATAAAAGTAAAACACACTTTCTGTTCATCTCTGAAAGCAGACTGGACAAGGGCTGAGGAGATAGCTCAATAGAACAAGTGCTTGCCTGGCAAGCAGAAGGTCCTGAGTTCAATCGCCAGTACCGCAAAAAAAAAAAAAAAAAAGATGAAAGCAGACTGGACATTGTAGTAATTTAGTTAATCTGTAACACAAATTAGGGTTAAGGGTTTAGATTTTACATTTTGTATAATACTTATTAATTTTTTTAAGTACAAAGATATTCTATTGCATGAAAAATAACCCTATTCATAAAATTTTTGATAGAACTTCTAACATGAATCATCTATATTGGGACAAATAGGCATTAATTAAAAAGATAAATGGGCCCTTCAGAAAGAGGATTAGGGCTGGGGAGATGGCTCAGTGGAATAAGTGCTTCCCTGGCAAGAACAAGGGCCTGAGTTCAATCCCTGGTTCTGCAAAAAAAAAAAAAAAAGAAAGAGGATTAACTTGTTCAACACAACACAGCCTGTGAATTATCTTGACCTGTGAAAGGTGTGCGTTATAGCACAGATGCCAAATCATAAAGTCTGTAAAATAAAAGGTATTATCCTGGCAAAGACCAAATCACAGCCCTGGAGTCCTAGCTCTTTGTAGAGTTTGCCACAGCACAGAATAAAAAAGAGAAGACCACGTGAATTTATACCATTGCCCGTCAAATGCCTTAGGTTATAGCCAAATTCTTAGTAAAAAGGAAAAACCTTCATAAAGAAATCATTGAAAATTTTAATTAGGAACAGAACCCCCCCCCAAACAAACAAAAAAACACCCAGTCTATAATCTGTTTCCAATAAATATTTGCTGCTGCTTGTATCTCTGCTTTGGTTCGTGTGTGTGTGTGTGTGTGTGTGTGTGTGTGTGTGTGTGTGTTTAAACTGTCCAGGTACTACCCTATCAGCTATTACTATAATAGTTCTGTTTAACAAACTGTCACCGAATTTACACACAGGCTTGCAGCTTTAGCTGAGCTGGGTTCACCTGGATAACTCCTGAACACTGCTGGTTGCACTGGACTTGTTTCTTCACTGTGAGCTTTGGAATTAGGTCAGCTAGATATATGTGCATTCTGACTCAGGGATAGAGGGGAAGCAGCTACCCAGTGGCAATATACAACATGCCAAAAAAGTCAGCACATGCCTTTGTGTACATTATTAGATCAGTTAACATCTTTTTGATTAAGGCAAGTTGTATGGTCTGGCGCATAGTACAGGTGTTATGTTTTTTGTCTAGGTATCTCAAAGCCTCATGCAGTCGTGGGGGACATTCATTCAAGGGCAAATGAATCTAGGGTTTGTGATTGGTTCATAGTTCATTGCTAGTATTAAGAGTGGGTGATTGCTGGATCAGTTCACTGATTGGAGTGGCACCACCCTAATCCCAGTATCTAGATAAGATAAAAGAGCAGAAAGAGGCTTATTTCCCCATCCTTTTTTGCTCTTACTGTTTCTGCTGCCATAAACTTGCCCTTCTGCCTTCAAGGAAACTCTGCCTTCGAGGCATCT